TTTACATATATCTCATTTTGTTCATGCATTATATAAAAGTATTAACTTCTTCTTTTTGTTTTTCTTCAGATATTCAAAGTTTTCTCGGTCTAATATAAAAACAAAAAAATGGTTGCCTTATTATTTGATATCCGTTGTCTTATATTATTATTTACTGTTGTTCAATATGTATCTCTTTACAGAATCTATCCACTTGATGATGATGATGTAAGTTTATTGGAAAATTTTTTCTTCTCTTTCATATAAAATATTTTATACATATATTTTTATTTTTTAAGCAATCGAATTTATTAAGCTCATCTTTCAATGAAAAATTCGATCGACCGATACGAGATACACATAATGGATATGAAGATTTCTTTTTAAATGCAATCAATAATGACTACAAGGATAGTTTTGAAGAATTGAAAGCAAACTCAAAACGTTCAATTACACGTATGAGATTGTCAACAATACCACAACGTCGCAATAATCGACCACATTGGAATCCATTAGTAGCTGCTTATAAACGTTGTGGTGAATTAGTATCGAATGAAAAACGCGAAAATTGTTTCAAAGATGCCGTACAAATGCTTTTTGTGCATAAACTAAGAAAATAATAATAATAATAATAATAAATAGAAAAAAACCAATGAAAAAAAAATGATTGAATGAAGAAACTTAACAAAATAATCATTTTTATTCATATATACTTAGCAATACATGTTTGTATATCTGTGCGTAAGTTTTTATGGTAAATTATTTTATCATCAAGAGAAAAAAAGAATAATCGATGAATTTTAATTATTTACTTGTTTTTATGTTCATTTTTCTCATTGTTGTAGTATTTGGTGAATAAAGGAGAAAGATGAGCAGAAAACAAAAAAAAATCATAATTATTAATTTAATTAAATATATAGTCTTTAAAATACATGGCTTTAATATTAAATATGAGGTTTATCACAATTCTTTGTTTTATACAAACTAAATAACATTAAGATGAAAGAAAAAAAAAAAAAAAAGAAAAACTCTACATGTAATAAAAGGTGTTCATAACATCTGTTGATCGAATTGACACGCACAGACTTCTTTCTTCTATGACTAACATTCCATCTTTAACTTTCTACAATATTTTTCTTCAATTAAGAAGATAAAAATTGACGTTGCACATTGATTATAATTATGTGAATTAATGAATTTTATTTTTATATTTTACAGAAATAACATTAACTGCTAATTCTTGTGTATTTCTAACAGAATTAATAATATTTATTTTGTTTTATTTGAAAAAACATGTGAAATATAGTATAAAAATCAATGATCGAAATTAAAATTTTAATAATTCGACTGTAACAATTCAAAATGGTAAACTTCCTATCAGTAATAAATTATACAATGAATTCACAATTCTATAGTAACATTTCTGAAGAAGACGAAAAAGCAAAGAACTTCTTCACTAATTAAACCTATATTGTATAAAAGTAAGTGTGAAGTATGAACATTCATATTCTTGGATAATGTAGCAAACAATATTTCATCAAAAGAACAAAAAGGACATTAATATTGTATGATTAATGCTTGAGGCTTAATCATTAGAAATGTTACACTAATGGTTTATTTAAATATCAAAGCAACATCTTGTAAACGTTCTTTGTTTTGTAATAAAAAAATTTTTTCCTTGAATTGTAGAAAAGTGTTGTTATAAGTTAATTTGATTTTGAACGATTGTCAGATGTAGAATGTTAATGTCTATCCTTAAAATGCATTCTATCTTAATAAAAGTCAATTTTTTTCAAGATTAAAAATCTTCAACATAACATACACTAACGAAAATTGTCTCCCTTTCCTCCCTTATTAAAATTATTTATTCTAATATATTATTATTTTCTTTTTTTTTTGACATATGTAGGTTGATTGAATTAATATATAGCCCCAATAATATAAGTATTTTTGAGTTAGACATGAAAAACAATCAAAATATTACTTTTAATGTCATGTAGATATAATGAAATACTATTTGTGTCATCAAATAGATTTCTTAATAGTATTCTTATACTCTTTCATATGGTATGCGTTGTCATTCAAATATATTCTTTTTTAATCAAATATTCTTCTATAATCATCTACTCCGTAAGTAATCTTGTCACATTATTATTAATGAAAATGTTCTAGACAGAATACCAATATGATTATATTCATGACCATCAAAATATGATTGTGCAAGTATTAAAAAAGAAAAAAGAGAAATTCAACACTATACAATGTAATAAATTGTTACTCTTAAGAATATCTATTGATCAAATTGCTTCATTACCAGTAATATTGATTCAATTGTTCCCTCGAAAAATCGAGATATAGTTATTAATATAGCTTTTTACTCGTTTTCTTTTCTTTGTTAAATAGCACGTATTTTATATGAAAAAAAAAACTGTTTGTTGTTAATCTCGTTTCGCACAAAGAAAATTTTCAAGTCTTTATCTTAGTCATGCCATGTGAAGGTCAAATATAAATATACGATACATGAATATATGCATATCTGGTTCGACAGAGTTTTGAACATTAAAAATTGATTCGACTAACATGCTGATCTTTTCAATGTAAATCTTGTCTGTATAGCATTGAGTTACGATGTATGTCGAATATTTTATAATGCAAACACAATGCACATACGGCTTATTTACAGATAATTATACAAGTCGATGACGAAGTAAATGTATTTTGCTGGTATCTGTTTGAAACTAGGATGCAGTATTCCAGGCTAAAAAGTTAGTTGGAAAGTCAGAATGAAAAATCTGGAGAGTACCCATTCCTAAAATGTTAAGTCCAAGTTTTATCAATTTATAATGTTTTTCTACGAGAATTTGTCCATACACTTTAATCTGAATATACAATAGTTTCCAAAATTATTTGATCAGATTTATTCTCAATTTTTTTCCAGTACTGTAAACGCTAATCATTCTATTTTTAATTACTTAAAATAAAAGAGCAAACAGTTATCTAGAAAATGCAATGTCTTCCAGGTATCTACGAGGCTTTTTTGACTACAACAGAGACAAAAATGATGTTTTCATACGACAGCAGAACAAAATGACTTTTGTGTCTTTTATAATAGTCACGTATCTAGGTGCAAAAAAATATCGTAGACAATTGAAAGATGTTTTCTTTTGTACAGATTTTTTCGCTCTATTGTTCTGAGTAATTCAAACAAAGTTCTAGTTGCAAATTTTAGATGCTGGAAAACTTGGTTTTGATATCTTTGAGATTTCATTCTTGAAAAACTAGTAATTATCTTCATTTTCGGTTAACATAGTAAAACAAATTTATGTACTGACTAACTAGGAACATACTTTATTCTATGGGATAATACTAATATTCTAACAGAAATCAAACATAAGTCAAAAGATAAAAAGAAAAAATATTTAAAGTGTTACTTTTTTTTCATTTAGCAACTGTAAAATGATAAACTACCTAGAAGTATTCTATGGATTATAATATCATTCATCCAGATTGTCCATACGACATTGAATTGCAATGAAATATCTGACGATTTTAGTTGAGTGAAGACGGAGCAGCTGCAGTCATAACAATAGAATTTTAGGTGTATAAAAGTTCTTTATTCCACTCTTCTAGTTAACTTATATCAGATATTACTTATCACCATGAGTACTAGTTATAAATCTAGACTAGTAGAATTGTAAGAAAAACAACAATGAACTATA